ACACCGCATGTGTCCCAGCATCCAACACTCCTGGATGTCTGTCAGATGTTGAACATTCTTGGGCAGCTGTAGCTCTTCAACACATAGAAAATGGTAATCACTCCCAGGCAGGTTGGTATCAGTCCGCTTCTTTTGTAGTGCACATGTTGTTGTTTTTTTTTCCCAAGACAGATTTGATTAGTAAAATATACTCTCCCCGCAGCTTAGAGCCGGTATGGAACCCTGCAATGGCAGCTTCCTCACAATGGCTGCGGTGATTCCTAAGTAGCATGGACGGGTGAAGGAATAGATTTTCACTCAGCCCACAAGCCGTATATGGCTGACACTCAGCCCACAAGCCGTATATGGCTAGCTTCAGGAACTAGCTATTATCTGCTTTTCTGACCTATGCTTCATAGTTGTCGACAGATCTGTTGTCCATCTGTGGTGCAATTTTCCATTGGGAAGTCAGCTACAGGTTCAGCATCTGTTGAGCAGACTGTAGACTGCTTACATCATCCCTAATGGTACTATCTTTCAATGAATCAGCCACATATATACCGTATATACTCGAGTATAAGCCGATATTTTCAGCCCATTTTTTTGGGTGAAAAGCAGCAGCGACGCTCGGCGAGGTAAGTAAGAAGAAAAAAAAAACCCCCGCAGCGGCCAGTACAGCAGGGGAGCAGGGATGAGTCAGCGGCGCGCTGATCAGGCGAGAGGAGCTCCAGGTGGGGTTGTAATTTAGCGGGCAGGCACCTCTGAGCCAGCTGACTCGTCCCTGCTCTCTCCGTGATGTGATGATCGATCACCGGCACACGGACACAGTGAGTGAGGGCGGCGGGGGGGTGGGGGTAGAGAGAGATTCATTAAGCAATTATATATGTATTGTCTGCACTGTATTAGCAGTATATACTCTATGTAGAGTATATACTGCTAATACAGTGCAGACAATACATTTACAATTATACTAACATGAATGTATTAAATGATCTGTATGTAGCCCTGTACTATGGATCATTTAACCCATTCATGTTAGCAGAGGATCATTGTAAATGTATTGTTGCAGGCACTCTATATGTACATGTACTATATACTACATATAGAGTGCACTGAACAATAGATTTACAATTATCCTCTGCTAATATGAATGGGTTAAATGATCCGTAGTACATGATATGTAGCCCTGCACCCCCTTTTCCACTTACAGAGCTAGGTTATTTTTCTTTTAAATAAATATTAATGTAATTTTATTGGTATCTATCTACCAGTAGCTGCCTCATTTCCCACCCTCGGCTTATATTCGGGTCGGCTTATACTCGAGTATATACGGTACATAAAATAGCCTAAGAACTGAGGAGGTTTCTGTTTTAAGTGATTGAAGTTCTTTGCACAGAATACCCCATTGGGTCATATTAAATGAATATATGACTTGTAAATATACATCTGTTTTGCCAAAAAGGATACATGATATATCTGGGACTGTCAATTGAGTGTTTTTTTTTTTTTTAACTAGTTGATTTTTATTTAGGTTGATCAGTAGATCAGCCTTTCTCAAACAGGGTGCCGTGCCATCCTGGTGTGCATTCTGACTACCTCAGAGGCGCCTCAAATTTTTTAACAGCAACATGCCTCTCCATGGTATAGGTGGGCTGGTTGCCAGCACCATGTAAACGAATGGCACTAATATCCAGGCAGTGTGGAATCCATTCTGAGAAGGACAGAAGTATGCCTCCGTCCAGGCCTGGACTGCCTTCCGCTCTCTGACATGCTGCCGCAGCCAGGGCCGGTGCTAGTGCTTTCCCACACCGAAGGTAAGTGAAAAAAAAAAACATAGCGCAAGCATCGGGGCATTTTGACAAGTACAAGTACTTGTAAAAATGCCTTGTTTTTTCTGCCGTCACCCTGCAGCGCCCTCAGGCGGCCGCGTGACTTGCCTTGCGGTAGGGCCGGGCCTGGCCGCAGCTCCTACTGTATAGGGGGGATTCTGACATAAGAGGGAACCCTACTTTTTTGCGTTCTAAGATAAGGGTGTGGTATGAATTTTGTAGGGACCACACGTTTTCTTACATTTTTATATTTACAGTTGTAATAAAAATTATTCAACCCCCGTTGCACAGTATTCAACCCCTATTGCAAATTAGGTTTATTGGCAGAATTTACAAACTTTCAGTGGCAATGAACAAATCAAACAAAAGCAATTGAAATAGGTCAACACGATGAATGTTTCAAGTGGTTTCCCCAGATTCAATTGAACATGCAAGTTTTAACGGATGCAACCAGATCTCTGAGAAGGTAGGTTAAGAAAAACCCTCGAATGGCTACAAAATGTTTCAGTTTGCACAGTAAGGCGCGTACTAAACGCAGAAGGTTTCCATGCTAGAACTCCAAGACGTTCATCACTTGGTGACCCAAAAGCACAAGAAAAGTTGGCTCCAATATGCTCATAATCATATAAATAACCCACAGAAGTATTGGGATTCTGTTCTGTGGAGTTATGAAACAAAACTGGAACCTTTTCGGCCCTATGGATCAGCAGTATGTCTGGAGGAAGAAGAATAAAGCATACGCTGAAAAGAACACTCTGCCTACAGTTAAGCATGGTGGTGGCTAGGTGATGCTCTGGGGCTGCTTTGCATCCTCTGGGACTGGAAACCTGCAGCATTTGGAAGGTAAGATGGATTCACTGAAGTATTTAGGAAATTCTAGGAGAGAACGTCATGACATCTGAGAGGAGGCTGAAGCTAGGGCCTCATTGGACCTTCCAATAGGACAATGATCCCAAGCATACCTCAAATTCCACCGAGGCTTGGTTGCAGAAGAAGTCCTGGAAGATTCTACAGTGGTCATCACAGTCACCTGACTTGAACCCCATAGAAATTCTCTGGTGGGATTTGAAGAAGACAGTTGCAACATGCAAACCCAAGAATATTGGTGAACAGGGGGCTTTTGCATATGAGGAATAGGCTAAGATTCCCCAGAAATGCTTCCAGAAGCTGGTATCTGGCTATGCTTCTCATCTGCAGCAGGCAGTAACCACAAAAGGGTGCTCTACTAAGTACTAAAGATGCTTGCCATGACGTTGTTTATTATCATTTTGAGTCTGCAGAAGTCCTATCCATGAATATAAATGTTCTGTTTTGGATATAGCAAAACAAACGACAAACGCACTCAACGAAATGGGCTTTGAACAGTAAAACAGTAGAAAGGTATCATGGCACACTCACAAACCAGCATGTAAAACAACTTGTCTCACCACGAAGGATAAAACCAGAGGTTTGGATACACGTCTTCTGCAGAGGATGTGAAAGCCGCACTGCCGCGCCAAGGCACCTCTTATAGTGCGGTCCTAACTCTAAACTATGAGAGTCTCCATCTTGGAGCACATGGGGGCAGAAGATTTCAAATTGGGTGTACATGGGGTTTCTCAGCTGCCATTGGGATGTGCGGGATCCCTTGTGTGTTTCTGTGCTTTTAAGGAGGCTGGGCGTCCTCCTGACAAACCTGCACCCAATTTGAAATCTTCTGCCCCCATGTGCTCCAAGATGGAGACTCTCATAGTTTAGAGTTAGGACCGCACTATAAGAGGTGCCTTGGCGCGGCAGTGCGGCTTTCACATCCTCTGCAGAAGACGTGTATCCAAACCTCTGTTATTATCCTTAGTGGTGAGACAAGTTGTTTTACATGCTGGTTTGTGAGTGTGCCATGATGCCTTTCTACTGTTTTACTGTTTTGGATATATACATTGTTTTGTATATAAACAATGTTTTGTATTTCTTTATATATGGTTTGTCAGGCAATCCCTGGCTGCCATAATCAAGAAATGTTTTGTATTTCGTTATACACAGTATCTCACAGGTTTCTTGGCAATCTTCTTATAGCCTAGGCCATCTTTATGTAGAGCAACAATTCTTTTTTTCAGATCCTCAGAGAGTTCTTTGCCATGAGGTGCCATGTTGAATTTCCAGTGACCAGTATGAGAGAGTGAGAGCGATAACACCAAATTTAACACACCTGCTCCCCATTCACACCTGCTCCCCATTCACACCTGAGACCTTGTAATGACACCGGGGAGGGAAAATCGCTAATTGGACCCCATTTGGACATTTTCACTTAGGGGTATACTCACTTTTGTTGCCAGCGGTTTAGACATTAATGGCTGTGTGTTGAGTTATTCTGAGGGGACAGCAAATGTACACTGATATACAAGCTGTACACTCACTTCTTTACATTGTAGCAAAGTGTCATTTCTTCTGCGTCGTCACATGAAATGGTATAATACAATATTTACAAAACTATGAGGGGTGTACTCACTTTTGTGAGATACTGTATATGTGGTGTGTTAGGCAAACCCTGGCTGCCATAATCTTAAAATGTTTTGTATTTCGTTATATATTTGGTTTGTTAGGCAATCACTGGCTGCCATAATCTTGAAAATTCCAGTGCCATTTTGGCTTCTTTTTTTAGTAACGTATATTATAACCTGTTCCATGTCTCTGCTCATGAACCAGAAACTTTTAATTGATAACAGTAACACTGAATGTGCGCTGTGTGTGGGGAGACCGGGGTATTCCCACAGCAGCAGCAAGCCGTGCTCTACAACTCAAGCCATATCCAGCAGCAGCAGCAGCACAGGCAGCTGGAGTGGCGGAGGCGCGCGCACGTGCCCGGCTGGAAGATTCCGACAACAATGGGAGCATCGGGAGACCGCTGCGCGGGAACGCGCCTCCTCCTCCTCCGAGCGCCAGACCGATCGAACTTCAGAGTTCGGCTCCGATCGTCGCCGGGGCGGGGTGTTGCGGTGAAAGGGGATCCTGTCTAGGTTATTATACCCCTCCCTACAGACACATACAGCTGAAAGGGATAAAGGTGGATGGGGGGGAGAGAGGTCCCCCCCCAACAGAAGAGATTGAAGTCATCGCAAGGAAAGAGCAGACTGATCGTCTTCCCCCCCTCCTTCACTCCTGTCCGCTGGGAGGGTTATATCATATCAGCAGAACTTATTACACTTCACACATATAGCACCCATCCAAGGCATTCCTATGGAGATCCAGCTGCAGGTAGGTCCATTGGGATGTATAGGAGAGAAGGTCATCAGGGGGGGAGGGGAGGGGGGGATAAAAGTGTGGATACATGATTGAGATCACTGAAGTCTGGAAATGTATTGATCGCAGGCACTTCTCTTATTACATGACCTATTTTAAGGATAGCCTGTTTGAATGAAGGGGAGTGTGTACAGAGCAGAGTGTAGATGAGTACCCCGATGAGTGCTAGCTCCTGGCAGCCAAAGGGATACTTTACATGACGTCATAATGCACATTACATTATCGCATGACCTCCTGTTTCAGCACCACAGGGATGGAGGGGGAGCGCTGAGCACATTACGGCTTGATGAATATTGCACTAGCAAGCCTTGATCTTGTTTTGTCTGTCTGCCTGCCTGCCTTCGTTGTCTATAATTACTCCAGCTCTCCACAGAGCCCGAGATGTAATTTACTAAATGAGGACGGCAAGAGGAGAGAAATATACAAATATCAGGAGTGCAAAGTGATTCATCCCAAGCCACAGCAGTAGGGCTGCATGCCTTTCAACTTAAAATAGCCAGCTTCCTAAAGCACAAGTCTACTACTTAGTGCCCCCCCTATTCCTTCATCCAGCCCTTTATGTCTACTGTCTCCTCTGACTGTCTTTAACAAAGACTCCACTGCTCTACAGTCTGTCCTGAACTATTAATGGGGAGCTTCTCACTTCCTCATTCTGCTTGTCTCCTCACTCATATTATAGGGCAGTGGTTGAGCTCCAGTGCCCAAACTGCAACGCAGAATCAATGTATTTATGTCAAAGTGCCAGCACTGAAAAGAACTTTGTCATTGTTGTTTAGTTGGGGCACTGGGGTTTCAAAAACGTTCAGCATCACTGCCTTAGACACCCATAAACACACACATGTCATACACGCTTGTAAAACACACACATTTATCAAACTGCACCCATACACAATCATATAAACACACACATCACACACACTCATAAAACACACCCACACATATCATACACATTCATAAAAACACACACATCAAACTAACACACAAACATATCACACACTCAATAAAACACAAACACATCACACAAGCAATGAAACCCACATCACATAGGCATTAAAACACACATATCACACACATTAAAAACACACACACATCACACACTCAATAACATACACACATATCACACACCTATTAAAACAGACACACATCTCACACTCATTAAAAACACACATAGATATCACACATTAAAAATACACACACATAATACACACTCATTAAAACACACACATATCACACACTCAATTAAAACAGACACACTCAATAAAACACATATCACACACTTATTTAAAAAAAACACATATCGCAACACTTATTAAAAACACACACATATCTCACACTCATTAATAAACACACAGATATCACACACTCATTAAAAACTACACACATAACACACTCATTAAAAAACACACATATCACACGCTCAATAAAAACACACACTCAATAAAACACACATATTACACACTCATAAAACACATCACACGCACACTCAATAAAACACACACACTTATTAAAAAATAGACACATATCACACACTCATAAATCACACACACACACTTATTAAAAAACAGACACATATCACACATAAAACACACACAACCATTAATAACAATTCATAATTACTAATAATTTTTTTTAAATGTCCCCCTTTGCTGTTTTGCAGGGAGGGGGCTGCATCCCTGGTGTCCAGGGGGGCACTCAGGGCTTATCCTGGTTGCCTAGTGGAGGATCAGGGTGATCTGCATCTCTGGCTGATTCAGACCATACTAATCACTCCTTCCTGTGAGCAGCTGCATGACAGGGCAATGATTAGTATGGTCTGCATCAGCAAGAGGTGCAGATCATACTTATCCTCCACTGGACCACCAAGGGGTGATTTCCATTTAATAAATTGCCGGTTTGCCATTGCTGTTACATAGGACGCAGGCTTATTAAAGGGCCAGTGTCACCCACATGCAGCAGAGTACCTGCTTTCCTCTACACTTCCTCTATGTCACACTGCTTTTATTATCCTTCTCATATAAGCTAGGAATTAAAATGATAAAAGTCATTGAACCATTTCTGTATCCACCGACTGTTCAAAAAGATAGTGAAATGCATGTAGACATAGTAAGGCTGATCTACTCAAGGAGTTGAGAATAATATTAATATAAATACTACTACTTCTAAAAGTAATAATACCAACTTTAGTAATAATAATAATACAAACTGTAGTAATGATGTAATATTAATAGTCATTATAATGACAATATTATCAACAGTGATAATAAAACAATAACAATAATACATATAATATTAATAATAACAACAACAACTATAGTAATAATATTATTATTATGAATTACTATTATTAACTGATACTAAAATAACAGCAACACTATTATCATTATCATCATCATTATTATAATTATTTATACAATAAACTGTGTGAATATTCTATTCAATTAGCCAATCATTTCATCTGCACATGATTGGGTAATTAAAATGTATTGTGTGAATTATAATAATTTTAAATGTTCTCAACTCCTTTTGTAAGTCAGCTTCTTTGTATTAGCTCCCATGTGTAAGTGAATTCAAGAAAACTACTATTATTATTAATAATAATAATAATAATAATAATACAACTATAATAATGATAATAATAATTATGATATTATTATTATCTTCATCATCATTATTTATTGCTAATATTATCATGCTTCTTCACACATTAAACTTTGTGAATATTCAATTCAGTCAGCCAACAGGTGAAGATTAAATTCCTGTTTACATTTTTCATCTCCACTTGATTGGGTAATCAAAGTGAATAGTCACACAATTTACTATGTGAATTATAATATTCACACAGTAAATAGTGTGACAATTCACTTTTTTTGCACAATCTTATTATTCACAACTCCTTTAGTAAATCAGGCACATTGCATTATCATCCATTTGTTGTTGCATTCATGCAAACTGATATTTATAATGCAACACAAATGATTTTATTCATTTTTAGTGAGATCAGAAAGAATTAGAATTAGAATGTGGGCGTATTGTTTGTAACTGTACTTTATAAATTAAGCGAATGAAAGTTGTTGTTTTTTTTTTTTTGGTGCATTGGCGTCTGAACAGTAGTGATGTAAAATAGAGTAAGTTAGAAAGTATAGCGTAATTCTTGTTATCATATTGTGTCATGAAATAAAGTGTAATGTTTTTAGATTGTAAGCCCTCACGGTCAGGGCCCTCCTTACCATCTTGTCTTGAATTGTATTGTGACTGTAATATCTTCCTTATATTGTAAAGCGCTGTGCAAACTATTGGCGCTATATCAATCCTGTATAATAATAATGTCTGAGAGGGGATCTAGCTGAGATGAAGCTAGCTGAGATCTAGCTCTAATAAAATGAATAATATCATGCAGGTCTTAATTAAAGCTCCATTTCAAATTGAAGTTGACAGGTGTTGGTGGGTAGAATGTATATTTAAGTTGGATGCTAATGAGATTGCATTATTGTTTTTCGCTGATGGTTTTATAGCTCTGCCACTGGTGAGATATTTTTAATATTCTTTGCTAAGGGCACATGACATATCAAAGCAGGCCAATCTTTTTACTGTGATTACTTGTGTCAAAGTAGCAAACGATCATGTGAAAACAGCTTTGATAGCAAATTACAAAATATTCATCTTCTTTTAACATATATTTATACTTAAAGGAGAACTATGGGGTTAAGGTTTTTCCCCATAGTTCTCCTTAGGGTAACAGGAGGACACAAACTAGCGTCCTCCCGTCACCCTAGGCTCAGTATACCGCGAGCTAGCGAATGCCGGTATGTGTTCGCTCACCTCCCGATCTACTGAGCTGACCTGTGACAGTCTCATTGTCACAGGTCGGCTAGAACTATGAGGTGAGTGAAAAGCACTCACCTCATAGTTCTCCTTTAACGAAAAAATATAACAATGAACAATATGTAGTATAAACCATTCCGAAACAAAAAATACGGATACAAGTTACTAAAAGGTATATATATTCCATTTTGGGTGTGGATACAGAACTATGGCATACAGTATTTCTTTGTGCTGGTAACCTAACCTGTCTTGGATTCTAGACTTTCTTAATAGAATTGTAAGGACAGGATGTATACTGAATGTTCCCTAGACAGGCCATGTCCGATTTCAAAATCTGAATCAAAATGAAAAAAGCAGCTGAATATTTGATACCACCTACACAGGTGTAATAGAAGGATAGGCTGGTGTGGTAAGTGAGTACGTAGGAAGGTGAGAGCAGAGGTAGAGGGGGAGGAGGGGAGGGATATGTAGGTATATAGCCCTTTTACATAGGGAAACTAAAGATTTTTTGATGAATATGATCACATGATGATAATTGATTTTTCACATTTTCAAATATTTTTTTTTCTTTTTAACCAGTTGACATCCGCGGTGTTAAACCCCCTTCCCATCCCGGCCATTTTTCAGTATTCAGCGCTGCGGTACTTTGACTGACATTTATTCCGTCATGCAACGCTGTACTGAAATGAATTTTATACCCTTAAATGCCGTCTGGCGACGGCAACCCGCCAATGCAGCAGTGCCGTCCGTCCGTTTTTCTACTACGGGCGGACGGCAAGAGGTTAAAGTAGTATCAAGTGCTCAATTTTGTTTCAATAACGCAAATCCAGATAAAACAAATATACATTGTCCAAATATACATTGTCCAGAAAGTATTTCTTTACATTTTTGCCCAAAAACTTACAGTCACCATTTTTCCTAACCTGTGTCTCCAACTCTCTCAGCTCAGCTTCCCTGAACTTCCTGTCCAGTACAAGACCACAAAAGACAAAGCTATCTCCAGCAACTGTCCATCTACTAGCTTGGAGAAGGGAGGGGTAGGAAGAAGGAGTGGGGAGCAGGGAAATGACTTTGTCCTGCTGTGGATACACACACAGTTTACTAGCACACACAAGGGTGGTTCCATATGACAA